GATACCATGATTTCTCACTCTCCGGAGCATGTGGCCTCTTTCCTCTGTGCAGGCAGCAGAGGAACCCACGGTTTCAAATCCCAAATCCTGCCAAACCGAGGAGGAAGGGTCTGTGTTTCTAATTTATTCTGCCCCCTCCTCCAGTTGTTACTTAAAATAATCCATCATTACATGGCTGCTGGCTCCAAGATTTTTATTTAAAGCAATGTGGGGAAAAAAAGAAACTCCGCACATAAGCCATGACTGCGCTCTCTGGGATTTAAGCTGAGAATCATTTTAACATCAGTCTTCAAAGCAGCCGAGTATATTTTTCTCTGACCCCCATGAGTGTGCTTGGTGGGGGTGGAGTACAGTGAAAAGAGGGGTAAGAGGGGACAGGGCAGGATTGATATTTCTTAGAAACATCATGAAAAGGCCAAAGTTTTTTAAAAATATGAATCTGTGTCATCTGGTAGGTGTTTCATTGTCTCGTCTGCTGACCAGCAATAACACGTTGGACTAAGTCCCTTGGTCTCCCTGTGCCCATAAAATTAAGAGAACAATAACCCTTGTCCAGGAAGCTGTTGGGGAAAATGAAATCATACAGATGGAAGCATTTTGAGACAGCTGAAAGAAACATGTTACACTTATCCATGGCATTCTTTTTCTCTTTCTTTTCTCTCTCTCTTTCTTTTCTGAGTGTAGCTTTAATGTACATGCAATTAAAAGCCCCTCTCAATTGTTCATGCTAATGTGAAGCCACAGCTCTGATACTCCAGAAACCCAGGCAAGTCCAGAAATCAGCCTTATTTTGTTTTGGAATACCGTTTTCCAGGGGACTTATCTTTCTAATTAGTTTTGCTCAGGCAAATGCAACGGGTTTGCTCCCTCACAGCACACAAAGGGAGGGGCTGTGCTGGGTAGCAAAGCCAGCGATTAACAGAAAATTTACAGCAGAGACTCCACAAAGTAAATGCTATGCACAGGACAGCAGATCAAAATCTCATTATACTGTACAGACAAATCGCTCAGCTATAATGCAGTTTTGTAATAAGAACGCTGCCAACACTCGCCTTTCCAGGATTTAGGATATGAAGGGGAAGCGGGGCTTATTCCCACCTCTCCTCTGGAAGCTCAGAGAGGGCAGTCTCGTGCACCTTGGTCACCACTATATCCCCAACACCTGGCACACTGGCAGAGTCGGTGCCCAATAAACACATGTTGAAGGAATGAATGAAACTAAAAGCAAGTGAATTAACAAGTGAAATGTTCCAGCCCAGCAGCAGAAGTGAGCTCTCACCCATCTTCCTACCTACCCTGTCCCCCCGTGGAAGCCTTCAGGAAGCCTCTGGGTCACCCACCGCCCCCATCCACTGCTGGATTAGGTCCCCTCGTGATGGATTCTCACGGCAGGCAGTAGCTCTACCGTGTGGCACTTAACACAATGATAATTATAGTATTACTTGTGTTTGCCTCCACTGCTAGATTACAAACTCCCTGAGGGAAGGGGCCACGTGCAATTGGGGGGGATGTTGTCATAGTTTCCCCAATTTCTTATTTTGAAAAGTCTCCAACACACAGAAAAGTTGGAAAATAGTACAATGATGATCCACGTACCCTCGATTTTGATTCAAGAATTTTTAATATTTGGGGTCATGTAAGTTTTCTTCAGTGCTGCATCCCAGTAGAGCCATGGGCGAATACTGGGATTTTGCTCTCCCTGCTTGGGATGTAATATTGCTTTTAGTGTGAGGTGAGGGAGATGGCTGAGATGGGGAGCCTCAAGGGGAATCAAGAGTGAGTGCCATTTGATAGCAAGGCCGGAGTGCAACCACCTGTGGGCAGTTGCCCTGAGACAATTGCTCCAGGCAAACCCCAGCTAGGACTATGTGAGCCCCTGCAAGCTCTTTCGTCAGGGAGAAAGACCTGGCTGTCACTGGAGGAAAGCATCATTGTCCACCTCATGGGGTTGGTTCAAGCCAAAATCAATGAGTGGTTCTTTTTATGGCACTTAAGGTCTGGACCTCAAAATGCAACATTTCAAGAAACAGCTCAATGCAAGAACCAGGAGATGCAGCCTCTGGGGTCTGCACTGTGCCTTGTTAGGTTGCCTTGGACAAGTCATGTAATCTCTAAGAGTATATATTAACAGCAATCCAAGCCACCTCACAAGCACGGGCTGTGGGTGGGAACATCCCAAGAATCTTCTATAGTTCTCTAATTATTTCAGTGTCCAAATTTGTCTCTCCAACTAGACTGTAAGCTTAAAAGCCAGGAACTATGTCTACTGCTTTTTTTTTTTTTGTATAGTTGACCAGGGCTAGCAATAGTGCCAGATACTTATCGGTCAACCAAATAAATATTTATGGACACAATGAAAAACTTGTTTTGTCCTGCAGAATCTTTGTGGTGTTCATTCAAATGGGATAGGACTGTATTATGTACACAAGAGCTGAACTTCCAAGTTGCATGCATGCCCAAATAAGGATCCTACCCAACAACTCTAAAGCCTGTTTTAGTCACTAATGATGTTACCTCACTAGCCAGAGTGACCCTCAACAGACTCTGAAAAGGACATCCCCCCAAAACACACACACACCAGAGCACTACTTGCATGGTAGCATGTCTCAGAGCTCATTAAAAAGAACTAAGCTAGGCACACTTAGGTGTGTTCTCCAGTCTGGTTTTCCCAAACCCTGGATACACGTTCCTTGGAAGAAACAAACAGCAACCAGATATCCAAGGTCTCCTGAGTTAATTCCATCTTCCCCTGGTGAATTAAAACTTCTTGCAGACACAAAGGAGAGCAGAGAGACAAATGACACATAAACAAGAGCTTCACTGGCTGGGGAAGGGGGGCACGGAGAGTGACGTCAGTTTTCCCAGAAACCCATTTATCATGGTAACAAGGTCTCAAGTGCTTGGGCCGCTCTTTCAGCTTCAGAATCTGGCGTACAATTATGTTCTTCATCATAAAGTGTGGCAAGGCCAGAGAGAACAAACTGGAACCATGCAAAGCAGACCAAGTGGCCCTAAACCACCCCCACCCCTCCATCTGCAGAACAAAGGGGATCTCTGGGTTGCCCGACTTGTGCCTGAGGTGAAAGACAACCTTTTGGAATGTTCTTCTTTGCCACATCCACCCTGCAATCCTAATCAAGGCTAGGGGGACTGGTGAGAGACTATGGACAGGTCGACGCAAATTAATTAGCTGACAAAAAAATCATTAACATCCTTTGTGGTCACTAAGGATGGAATAAGTGTAATCCAGGAGACTAATTCCTCTACTTAAGCCTTGCCATCTCTAAAATGCAAGTAACGAGGAGCAGAAAAGCACTCTGGGAACCCTCAAAACACTAAAGCAATAAATATTACAGTGCCAATCTTGGGGAGAAGATAATTCTCTCAAGTTCCATTATCACACAGCATTGTCTCCTATCTATTCCTGGTCCTTCCGCTGGTTCCATATCATGACTGCATAAAGAGCTCTGTGCTGGGGTCTGCAGGGGGTGTGGGAGCTTCCAAAGAAATCACCCTGCCCTTCCAAACAGGGACAAGAGGGTGGAATAAATTCATACATATCCTGTAGAGAAAACACTGCCGGATTCTGAACTCAGATTTTGAAAAAAAAATCAATTTCAACTACACCATATACCTAGAGGCTATGTTTTTTTCTGCACTGGAATTGCATTGCATGGACTATTTCCCTAAACAAGTCAGTCACAAGGTTTAAAGACATTTTGAGTGTGTGCGTGTGTTTGTGTGCGCCTGTGTGTGGCTCAGAGATTTTCATCAAGTAGTATGTGGTGTCATGTGATTTGACCTACCTCTGCTTTTCTCTCCTTCCTCATCTCAGGGTGCTGGTAATTGTGGGCTTCTTAAAATCCCAGATAGCCATGGATGAATAGAAAGGCTAGATTGTTCCCCCAAATGGAATCATCCCCTCCCTTTGCAATCGAACTTCTGGTCTAAAAAAACAAACATGGAGCCTTAGGTCACTTCAATATGATTTCTCTGCACATCCCAGGCTGGAAAACTTCAGTTCTTTAAATGAAGATTTTTCTTTTCCAGAGTCGGTTGCCAACAAAAAGAGAGACGGTACCGCTTTTGCAAGCCTCACACTTATTTTCCTGAGTCCTCATAGAAAGAAGCCAGCTCCACAGGTTTTGGCACACAAGCCCAGCTACACTGAACACGCACCCGCGATAGACCCCCAGAAGCCCGCAAAACCCCAGTCAAGTACTCAGAAAGATGCCAAAATACGCAACCAGCCACCGACTGGCCAGCCAACTGCACCCCACACAGACGCACAAATGGGACCCAGAGGCACACAGCACATGCAGACACACGGACACACACCATGAAAGTGAGCACACTCAGAGAAACAGGCGCACTCATCCAGGGTCACAGACAACCTGGGCGCCGCGGCCAGTCCGGGGAGGCACGAGTGCGCGCGCGTGCACTCATACGCAACACAGTGCTACATACACAGACGCAGTCACATATGTAATGCATATGGAGAAGCCCTACCCCAGCCAGTCACCTCCCCTCCCCCCTCACCGCCCCCTGCCCCAGGCTAACCCGAGCCCCGCGCCCCTCTTCCTAAGGAGGCCCGGGTCCGGGCAGGCAGCTGTGCGCAGGGGCGCGGCCCCGCGGTCTGAGGAAGCGAGGCCAGGGTGCCGGGGACCCGGAGGGCTCGGCGGCTCGCGCGGCCATTCATTCGGCAACGCCCCAGCGACGGGACCGCAGCTGCAGCGAGGGAGGCGGCGGCGCTTACTGCAGCTCCTGGGCAAGGCGAGTTCAGCAGCCCGCCCGCAGCCTGGGCCAGGCCCCCACCCCGCCCCGCCGCCACCGTTCTCGGAGACACGCTGCGGGACTGAGCCGCTGATCCCGGGAGCAGAAGTCTCGCCATGCCTTGGCTCCTGGATGCTGCCCACTGCCCTCCTCGCGGTCAGGTCCCCTCGGTCCTTCCCATGCCCCCAGCCCGGGCCCCGGCGCTGGCACCCAAGCCCCGCACTCACCACCTGGCGAGCTATATCGGTCGCTGCCATCGCTCCTGCGTCCGCCAGGGCTGCCACGGGCGCCGCTGCAACGGGATCTACAGCACAGGAAACAGCGGAGCTCCTCCGACAAAGAGAAAGTGTTACACTTCGGGCGCGACCAAGTCCGGTGGGGGGAGGTGCTAGGGAGGGGCCCCCTCGCCGCTGCTCCAACCCCAACCTCCCTCTATCGTCCACCCCCTCGGAAGTGGGGTATGAGTAGGGGGCGGATTTAATACACCGCTTCCCCCTACCGGGAGCCCAGTTCCAGTTCTCCCTGCAACCTCAGGCGTAGGCCTTTGCGAAGGCGGGCGGGGGCTCCCCTTGGTGACCACGTCCTCTGCCCCCCCCCCCCCGCCACTGGGCTCCGTGGTACGTCCCGACCTCTGCTGAATTGTCACACCCCCCCTGCTCTCGCCTTACATCCCTGAGTCCCCAGACCCCCAAGGCTGGAAGGGAGCTCCCATCCCTCCCCCCTCCAGTGCACAGCTCAGCGCCTGAGCTCTGCAGTCCTCCTCACCCTCCTCCCCGCCTCCTGTACCCCCTCTTTCTCAACACCGAGATCTCAGGGTGCTTGGATGGGAGCGCCCGCCGCTGAGTCTAGATGCTTCACCACACCTCCCCTCCCCCCGCCCCCATGACCCGGGAGTGCGCCGAGGCGGGAGGGGAGGAGCTGCGGCACCTGCCGCTCCACAGTGGAGCTTAGAAAGCGGACGGTTGGGGGGAGCCGCACTGCAGCCCCACAACTGAGCTGCGACATGCCGAGTCCGAGTCCAGCGGTCCTAAGACGAAACGCCCCTTCTGCCCTGGGATTTCCAATCCTCGGGTGCTGCGGGCTGTAATTTCGTGGAACCCAGCTCACTGCCCTTGGGTACTTAGTACAGGGAAACCCCGCGCCTCCTCTCCCCACCAAGCCCTAGATGCTCAGCGTGTGAGCGGAGGCTCAGACGACCCACCCACTTCTGGTGCCGGGACCTCTGGGGAGTCTCAGAGGAGGGGCTTGCGGGGGAAGGCCCCCAGCTCTGCCGAGCGGGACAGTGGGGAGTGATGGGGAGCGGGCTCCGGCGGCTCCGTCCCGCCCCCTGATTTCCTCTTAACCTTCAGTCAGCCGGTGACTAGGCGGCTGGCGGTGCGCAGAGAGGGCAACGGGAACCTCTGAAGGCAGAGGCTGTGCCCGGCTGCTTTCCTTTTCCTCTTGGCCAACCGCCTCCGCAGGTCTTCTCCCTCGCCCTCGACACCTTTCCACCTCTCCAGCCCAGCCGCCTCCCACTGTGTCTCCCAGGAGTGGCCCCTTGCTAGCTCCCTGTGACAGGTGAACCCTGGCAGAACCTTGGCGGGACACTCCACTCCACTCCTCAAAAGGGCAGGCGCCCTGGTCTTGGAGAGGGACCCAGAGCCTCTAGTGGAGCCCGGGACCCAGGAGGAGGCAAGCCCGTGGGCAAAAGCCTGGCGGCAACCTGCAACGGGACCGAGATGGCGCGTGGGAGATGGCCCCGCAGCGGCCCAACGCAGGAGAGGCTGAGGGGGAGGCAGGAGAGAGGAAAGAAGAAAAACAGGAACCAGGAAGCCAGAGGGAGAAGGGACCCGACCCAGAGGCCGGGGCCTGGGGAGAAGGAGGGAAGGCAGAGAAACGAGGTGGACACAATGTGTGTTCTACTGTCTCAGGGAGTTCCTTATGTGTGGTGGGTACCTTGAGGACAAGGACTCCGCAAAATGCATCCCCAGTGCCTAGTCCGGGGAAGCGCCCAACTAAGCGTTCCTGAACAGGAGGGCAGAGGATTTGGATTGGGGGGAGGGGGGCGGGAGAGGGGCGTAGAAGAAAAAAGAGAAACGAGGGGGTAGCAGTAGAGACAGTCATGAAGAGGCGAGCATTGGGGGTGCCCACTGTGTGTCCATCATTGTGCTGGAGACCCCAGAGACCCGGAAAGAGAAGAGCCTGGCACAATCAGGAACCGGTACACGGGAGTTCTGTAGACAGAGCTCAGGCCCGCAGGGCAGACGGTGGTGGCAGGGAAGAGAGGCAGCCCTTGTCTCCGAGGCCCGCCAAGGACCCGGGGCAGGGCCTGGGAGAGGTGCCAGGCCCTGGTTTGGGGTGGCAGTGACACGCGGGACCAGAGCTCTGTATGAGGAACCGCTGTAAAAGCTGGGCCCAGACCGGATGGGGGCGGGGAGTCAGAGGTGACTGGCCGCTTCCTGGTTGGGTGTCTGGGAGGGAGACAGGTCGTCCCCGGCAAAGGCTGGGGGTGGTGGACCGGGAAGGGCTCGAGGTCACTAGCTCTGATCTGGACGTGGGGCTTGGGTTGTGACGGGAGAAGAGGCGCGCATTTGGAAGCCAGAACTGAGAGCTTGTTCCCGGGGGAGGGCTTGGCGGAGGTAGGCTGGCAGACTCGGAGGCTCCCTGGGAATCCTGCCTGCCTCTCGGCGGGCTGCCCTCCCCGCCTAGCGCGCCGCGCTGACCAAAGCTCTGTGCATTTGGGCCCGAAGGAGCCTGGGGCGCTTGAGCGCAGAATCCTTGGGGACCCGCCCAGCGCGCCCCACTGGGCCGGCCTGTCCCTAGAGACCCTCAGAACCTCTCAGAGGCCTCCCCCTCCAAAAGGGTGGACCTCGCAGACTGGAACCAAGTGTGTAATTCAAGTCTCCTGCGGCCCTTTGGTCCCTGCAAGAACCGCCGCCTGCGGCTGCAGCACCTCCTGAGGCCTGGGCCTCCCGGTTTCTGTGGGGTGTGGGTTGGTGTTGATGTGTGAGTAGGTTACATTTGTATGTGTCAGTGTGTGTGTCAGCTGTGTGTCTGTGTGTTTCAGTATGTGTCAATGTGTGTGTGTATTGGCATGTGTTTACTCCTATGTTTGTATTTGTTGGTATGTCTGCCAGCTTGTATGTGTTTCAGTGTGTGTCTGGATCTGCATCAATGTGCATGTCAGTGTATATTTTCAGCGTGTGTTGGTATGTATGTAAAGGTGTGTATGCCAGTATTGTGTGTTGGTGTGTGTGTCAGTATGTACACGTGTTGGTATATGTGTCGTGTGCTTGTGTGTGTGTGTGTAAGGTTTCAGCTCACTATGTTCTGGGCTTTACATACCTTACTTCACTCAATGCAGTGGGCCAATAACCGAAAAATGTGGATTATAATGCTTATTTCACCAAAGAGGTTTGGAAACTCACTGGGTTGGTGTCTCCCAGTCTTTGGTCCTAGGTCATCTGCCCAGGCACAGGGCAGATGGGAGGGTTGAGGCAAGAGGATTCATGAGTGGTCAGTTTCTTCCTTGAATGTCTGTCCCATGTAGATGAGTGGGGGCAAAATATCTTCTTCATGAAGAAGTGCAGTGGACTCTCGGGTACGACCATGAACGTGTGTTCATGTTTGATGTGTCCTGGTGGAGTCCTTGGGCTCAGTACAGTGTCTGGCAGGTGCTCAGTCACTGTTTGTTGAGTAAGGGGAAATAGCTCCCGCTGCTAGATAGGAGTGGGCCCTAATTGGAGCCAAGCTTTAGAAAGGTCACCTGACTGCTGGGGTAAGGGATGCTAAGACTGAATGGGGGAGCAGGGGGGTAGAGAGAGGGGGAAGAGGGCAGCAAAATGGAGCTGAGGAAAGGGATTTGCCCTAAAACCATGGCTTTATGAGAGGAGAAAGAGAAGGATAGTAGAGTTGGTCTAAAGTAGAGAAGCTCTAAGAACAATCTGAAAAGTAAGATCAGAACGTTAAAGGAGGACAAAGTGAAGCAGAGGGAAAGTGACGTGGGATTAACCAAATCCAGACAGTGCTGATAGACTCAGAAACTCAGTTAAGGGGCTGAGTCAAGATAAACTAAGGATTCCTTTGTGCAATATTACCTGCTGGCCATGGTTTTACATTAGTTTGTTCCAGTGGTTCTCAAAATGTGGGCTTTGTCAGCAGCAGCAGCATCACCTGAGAAGTTATTAGAAATGCAAATTCTCAGGCCCCACCCCGGATCTACTGAATCAGAATGCAAGACTGGGACCCAGCAATCTGTGTTTGAACAAGTCCTCCAGGGGATTCTAATTTATGCTAAAGTTTGAGAACCACTGTTTTATCTGAAATCTAGCCCTAGAGGGATGGGACACAGGACTGATAAGGCTTGGTAGGATATTGAGGGAAATGTTTGAAGCCTGGGCTGTAGCAACAATGGCAGATCTTGGTGGATTTCTACAGTGGGCAGCATGAGGGTACTGAGTGCCTAGGGTCGAGGAAGGAGTCCCAAAAAAGGTGCAGAGGGGACCCCTGTAAGGAGCTGGAAGGTTCTAAAGACAGACGTTGCTTCCTTTGCAATTTTACTCATTCATTCCACAAATACGCACTGAGTCCCCACTACTCATCAGTCACTGTCATAAGCGCCAGAGGACTCAAGAAAAAATGGATGACAAGAACCCACTCTATGACCTGAGAGTGCTCCCAGGCCAGTTGCCAGATAGCTCCACAAACAACCAGTAATGTGGTAAGTGATACAATCAGTCAGGAGCAAGACCCAGAGAGGTGAGGGAAGGCCTCTCAAAGAAGATTCATTTGGATTGAATCTTGAAGAATGAGTAGCAGTTTTTCTGGGTGGGAGGTGGGGGCCTGGGGGCAGTAGAAAAACAGCATGTATAAAATCACAGACGAAAAGGATGGAGAACACTTAGGGAATTCCAAGTCTTGGCCAGAGGGCTTGGTGGAGGAGGGGACATTGGCTGTAAATGAGGCTGAGAGATAAGATGAGGTCAGATCACTGGTCATGCCAAAGAGCTTAGACCTTTGTTCCAGAATAGGGGTTCTCAAGCTGTGCTCTCCAGGGACAATGCCTGCACAGCCTGGAAGCATGCCCGGTGCAAATGGGAAGGATGCTCACAGTGAAAGAAAAAAATCAGTTAATGGATTGAAATTTCTCTATTTTAACTTTTTTTAACCATAAATTTTTCCTAAATCTTTGACAGATGCTCCTGCTTATCTGCTAGCAAGCAACGAAATGAATGAACAAATAGCAAATGAATATTAAACAGACAATCCCAGTACTGATCATGCTTAATTCAACAGTTTATTTTTTCATGGGCATCTGTGCTTGTGGCTATGATTTTATATTGCACACACATAATGTAGACATATTTTCTGCTAGCCCAGAAGTGTTATTTTGAAAAGTGTTTTATTTCATATGGTGCAATTTAATATATCAATTATTTCATGACATTCTGGAAAGAACACTGTGACATCCAGATGCTGCGCCTCCTGAACCAGTTGGAGAAACCATCCCTTAGATGGTGAGGAGCCACTGAAGGGTTGTGAGCAGGGGAGTGATATGAATATATTTGCAGTTTTGAAAGGTCACTCTGGCTCCAGCTTGGGGAAAAGATTGGAACA